ATTGTGGAGGGTGAGACCCCTTCTCTTCCAGACATTTATCCAAGAGAACTTGATGATGTGCTACACTGGTGGGTTATTTTGGCAATTCTTTATGGATTTTACCCTCAGTGATTTTAGTTAGTATGATAATTACTTTGTTTCATATCATTAATATTTCAGTATGCTGAACAAAGACCCTTCACTGAGGCCATCAGCTGCAGAGATTTTAAGAACACCATACATTGCTGATCAATTACAGGTATTTTGAAACAACACAGAAATAAACTTGTTGAAAAACTCTGCTTTAAAACATGGGCCGAGAAAAAGATAATGCTCTTTTTAAAGAATGACTCCTATAAAAACTAAAATGTACATTCCTAAACATGTGTATACCGAAGAACAGTCAGCCATCTATCCACAGATTTTTATCTATGGATTCAACCATCCAGAGCTTGAAAGTATTTTTAAACGTATAAATTCCAATAAGCAAACTTTGACTTTGTCATGTGATATAAGGGACACCATTTTACTATGCATTGTATTTAATGAGACTTGAGTATCTGCACGGGATCCTGGAACCAAACCCCAGTGAATACTAAGGGTCCAGTGTATCACTAAAAACTGTGGGCCTTTGCAGACTGCCAGAAATAGTGCAAATTGAGTCCACTTTAAGGGTAAGGGTTAGTGCTAGGGAGTCATGGGAATTGTTTTTTTTTTTTCCTGAGACATTGAGCCTTCTCTGTCAGAGAGCTCAGGTGCCACAATAAAATACAGTTCCCATGATTGCCTAACCCTAACCCTAACCCTTAAAGTGGACTCAATTTGCACTATTTCTGGCAGTCTTCAAAGGCCCTATGAGGCTTTATTTAAGTATTTTTACACAGTAATTGAAGAGTGGTCTAGTTTTGATTTCTAAATATTCTGTTGGATGAACATGATATACATATTTTAATACATACTTCAAATGGGCCCTTTTTAACATTTCATGTCTGTGTACAACCACAAGGAACAGATTACTGTTTTTATATATCCTGATTATTAAAAGTAATTTAGCATAGTTAATTTCCGGAGATGTGAAAGCTTATCTGTAACAGATGATCTACATATTCCATGTATATAAGCAGTTTGTAGATGCACTATGTTAAAAAAAAAAAAACAGTAGAAAAGACTTGTATCTTTACTCTAGAGATCTTAGATGCATGCAGACATCACATGGGAGATCTTGTCTTTGCAACACCTTCTCTTTCAGTCCATGATTTGATTCTCATCTCCAGTCTTTATCTCTGATCCCCTAAACAAATGAATGCACACACACACACACACACACACACACGCATATAAACACATACACATTTGTTAGTGCCAGTTTCTTCCCCTTTCCTCATTCTCATTGGTCCTTTTTCTGCTTGTCCTTTGCAATACTGTGGCTTTTGAGCCTTCCCCAACAGCCTCTTTTTTACATAGAAACGATTGATTACCTAGATATTTAGTACTTACAACTGTTTAGGAAGGAAGGAAGGAAGAAAAGGAAGGAAGGAGTATAAGCAAGGAAACGGGTCCCTTCTGGCTAGGTATCTCATTCTCATGTAGGCTGAAGGAGTAATCCACTGCACATGGGTAAACCCCAATATGATTTTCAAAAGCCACAGAAATGGTACATTACCCACTTACCTTCATTGTGTCACATCACAGAGAGAAAAAAGGGCAGAATGAATCATTGCCAAGTTGTTTGGTGCACAATACTTCTATTGTAAATCTTTCCTTTATTTTTACTGTTCTTGTTTTTTGTTGTTGTCAGGCTGATACTGATCACTACAGATGGATTCATCCACTATTGCATGTATTGGCCATACTGAGTGTAGTAGTTGATACATCTAGTAGTTCTAATCACAGCTGGCCTAAGAACTTTTACTGCATGATACAGAGCAGCAAATGGTTCCTTGCCTCTGATCCACCTGTTCAGGTCAAGGTGCATTGTATCCCAAACAACTCAAACTATTTTGGCGCACAAGGTAGAAAATTCCACAAGTGTCACTCTGCCTCCCACACAGTAAACTATAACAGTAACAAATGAAATCACAGACAATTTGCTGCTCCTTCATGATGCACAAATTGTTATCTGAGAGTACCAAATTGTAGAGTTGGCCCTGAATGGTTGTGTTCTTTCTTGAGGTTTCCCAGGAAAATGGACTCCAGTCTACAAATTTTGTTGCTATCAAAAGTGCTTCAAAACTCTTATGGTATTTTTGCTTCAACATATCAAAAGCATCTCATTCCCTCTTGTTACTCTCTTCCAAAATCTATTCTTACCTACCTCATATGGTTGTTGTGTTCAGCCTTCAGCATTTTGGAAGAAAGGTAGACAATCAATAAATAGTAAACAAGCTTAGCATCAATTGAAGAAAAATCCCCATCAAATGAAATCATCTTAAATCAAAATCTTTTGACAGGAAAATTCAGTTTTCTGTGCCTTTCATTTTAACCTTTAAGAACATTGAGTATAAAGCAGTATAGGTTGAGTCTCCCTTATCCAAAATGTTTGGGACCAGAAGTGTTGGGATTTGGGATTTTTTCAGGTTTGGAATAATAACATATAGTTAATAAGATGGGACCCATCTCATTTTTTCCATATACACCTTATACACAATCTGAAGGTAATTTTATATACAATATTTTTAATAATTTTGTGCATGAAACAAAGTTTGTGTACACTGAACAATGAGAAAGCAAAGGTATCACTGTCCTAAGCACTCATGAAAAAAGTTTTGGATTTTAGAGGATTTCAGATTTCGGAATTATAGATAAGGGAGATTTAGCATGTATAAACATATAAGTATATTTAAATTTATAAGATATCTGGACTTCACACACAGGAGTGTAAAAATGGCTGGGATGCTGTATAGGCCATATTTGAGGAGAAGGAACTGACAAAACCACCTCTGAGTAAAGAAGAAGATCACAATCTTTGTTCCTACAGGAGTTGAGGCAGAAGACTTCTTGTTCTCTGTTTCTCAAACTATACATTTGCTTTTTTTAATTGTGGATCAAAGAGCATCTTGAATAACTTGAGATGGAGTATTTTAAAAACAATAACAACAAGCAGAAACATGCTGTGAGAGTTAGGTTAAACTCTGTAATGTTTATGCAGGATTTCCTAGTTTGTGAACTGAAACATCAAATAGTAACTTGTTGATCCAATAAAAAGTATTTTTATTTGTCCAAATGCTAATGCTGGAATTAAATGTTAAGGAATGATTTTTTACAAAAAATTAAAAAATATATTTCTATGCTAATCTGTGAGTTTACCAGCTTTACCTGAACAGCCTTAACTGGGGCGACAGAACACATACAGCATGTACTATATTCATTTTGGAAAAATACAGAGAAGTCAGGAAACACTTTGTTGATTTGTTGCATTTGGTACTGCTTTGTTTTGTCTTGTAGATTATGAAATGTAAATTCACAAATATGACTATGAAGAAGCAGGTCCCCAGTCCTCCAGAAGAAAGCAGTTTTATCATAAATGCTATGTGAGTATGGAATTATTTTAATATAGAAAGAGTTTTAAAAAAGGGGGGGAAGGATGAAATAAAATCATCTTTGTGAAAGCTGCAAAACTTGTACATATTTTCTTTTGTTTACAGTGCTCTTTGTAAAATACTACAAACACTGATAATACAATTCATTGTGCTCATGTGTAAGATATAATTTTATTTGTAATAACTCTAAGGATAATTGTGTGCATATTTTATTTTACATAATGCATGTGCTAAGCTGATTTAATTTGAACAATGCCATGCTGGAACGATTAGCTGATATTTCAAAGTTGGTAATTAAATCGTTATCCTTTCTGGTTTCAATTGGACTGGGGGTTCTGCTTCTCTCTGTCCCTCCAGTGTGGTTAGTTTAGTTCTGTTACATCAATAGCTGTTGCTCTGCACTGCACTGCTAGATACATTATTTCCTTTGCTTTTCCCTTCTCTGACTCAAACAAAGCCTATATAGGTTTCTCATACCTACCTACTATCTCTGTGTGGTTTCAACATGGTTAGAAGGCAATCAAGAAGGAAATATCATCTAACTCACAAATCTCAATCTTTATATTTCATTGGACTTTAAGCATATATACTTGCTGAGATGGTTGCCAGATCGGATCCAGGATAGGGCTCATGAAACTGTTATCCTTAACAGGTCTCAGAGCATGATGAAGTACTGTAAAGCCATACCAAGTGGGACAAAGTTATTTGTCCCCCCACTCACTGTCCAAACTTTCAGTCTTAATTGCCCTCTCCTGACACAGCTATTTCTGTGCAGTGGAGGGGTACATACAGAGCAGTGCCTAGCTCTGTTTGATAGGGCAGTAGCCTTATTGGGAAGGGGTGGATGTAGTTGAAAGTTGAGATGTAGAAAGTGAGAGTGTTTGAAAGGACAGCAAATGGTTGTCTCTTTCATTGTGTTGTTGCTTTTACTGTCAGAAAAGGGAAAAGATGCTTGTAGAATTTCCTGTCTTATGTACCAAAGTAACTTGCCTGATACATTATTATTAGGGATGCAGTGGCCTAGTGGTTAAGACGCTAATTCCGACAACCAGAAGGTTGGCAGTTCAAGGCCCAAGTGCTGCATGATGGGGGTAAGCTCCTGTCATTAGTCCTAGCTTCTGCCAAACTAGCAGTTTAAAAGCATGCCAATGCAAGTATATAAATAGGTACCACTTCAGTGGGAAGGTAACAGGGTTCAGTGCCACATGACCACCAGAAATGTCCTTGGACAACACTGGCACTTTGGCTTAGTAATGGAGATGAGCATCACCCCATAGTTGGTTTCAACTAGACATTCATGTCAAGGGACTACCTTTATATATATATATTTTAACTTGCCTGACTTTGGGTAGTGTATTCTTTGCCTTGAGTGGTTCAGGGTTACCATTTGTTGCTGTGCCTCTCCTGAGGATCTCAGGGCCTGGGTAGGCTTATATGGGGAGATATGATCTGTCAGTTAACCTAGGCCTAAGCTATATACAGAGCCAGTGTGGTGTAGTGGTTTGAGTATTGGATTATAACTCTGAAAACCAGGGTTCAAATCCCAGCTTGGCTATGGAAACCCACTGAGTGACCTTGGATATGTCACACTCTCTCAGCTTCAGAGGATGACAATGATACCCCCCGAAGAAACTTGTCAAAAAAACCCATTATAGGCTCACCTTAGGGTCGTCAAAAGTTGGAAATTACTTGATGGCATACGACAACAAAGCTATATATGCTGGAACATCACTACAGAAGTCATTTGACTTGCCATTTGGTGTCACAATGCTAACTCTTCATTCTCTAGCCAGGGGAGACCAAGATATATTGCTACCTTTGGAAGCTGTCATCCTCCACTAGCAATGCCTGACCTGACCTGTCCCAGCTTGAGCTAGCTACCAACTCCCCTAACCTCAGGTCCCTCCAAAAGGTTGCAAAATGCTACACTGAACAATCCTTCTTCAGATACATAATTACATATACCCGGAAGCAGTCTAATCAGGAATTGAAAAGAAACTAGCCTCCTAAAATATTGTGAAAGAGGAGACAAGCTCCTCCAAACCTCCACGGCTATAAGCACAAAAACATGTAGTACAAAGGTCCTTAAATCTCCTAGTCTTAATAAAGAAAGTTATTGCAACAAGGTATACTGCCATGGTCTGCAGGATCATGCCCTGTTTCCTGAAGGGAGCCAAGTAGTGCAGTACACCTGTTCAGATATGAGCCAAGCTGCCCTGTAGCTCTATTGGATAGCAAAAGGAAACAATTTTCTCACTGCTCTGCTTTAGGCATACAGTGTCCCAGGTGCCACTGAGTTAAACGCCTTCTGCATTATGCTTCATTCCCAACCACCCACAGTTTTTCAAAGAAAGCAGTAGCATGCAGTTCTGCCTTTGGTGCTAGGGCTCAAAACCTGTCCTGAAACCAAGGCAATGTATCTGCAATTCCATTTTCACCTCTCCTTGAACTTAACCTCCCCACAAAAAAAAAACAACAAAACCCAGTAGTCATCCAGGTAAACTCAAAAGTCCACTCAAAAGTGGATACTAGGAAATAAACAACACTTGAACCCAGATTATTAGTCTCAACAGACAGGTATGCAGGCCAATTAACAGGTATTTTCTTGCTTTTAATTGCTAGCAGCACAAAGGACTGTGCCTATAAGAGGCTAAGAGACCCCTAGGATGCCAGTTATGACACTCAGAAGTTATCCCAACAGTTAAAAAAAAAGATGGCTGTCACACATGCAGTCTAATTATTTGCCCTGCCAGCTACCTCATTCTCTTGCCAGTTGGGGGATGGTTGCAATTTCCCAAGCCCTTACTGTGAAGCTACCTATCAAACTTCATTTCCAGAATCCAAGTTCAGACTCTGACACAGATAGGGGAAGTAGAAGGACAGAGTGTCATCCCTCATTCCCAGGATCCAGACTATGATAGACAGGGAAACTGACAGGAGGACGTGCCAATGCTTGAGACAGATAGTGACACTCCCCAGCTACCACAGCACACAAATATGGATTTGAGAGTATGTACCACAGCCAAATACTGATGAGAAAAGGAGAAACTCAGAGTGCTTAAACAGGAAATGCTCATAAATCAGAGGACAGCTGTGGGTGGCTGCCAGACCATAAATATTGCAGTTACTCCTTCAGGAGTTCATTGTTGACAACCAACTGTTCTGGAGGAATCAACATGTTTGCCTCTTGATTCCTGGCTTGTATTTCCAAAATGATTGGACCCTGCATTGTAAGCTGACCACACTACTTGACACCCACTCAGATTGATGCCTTGGACTTACTGCTGTACCCCACTGACCTGGATTGCCTGGACTCTGACAACTGTATATGCTTGGCTGGTAAACTCCTGTATCCAACTGGGGCTGCTACTATCTCATCTGCCTGTCAGACTTTGCTTGGAACTTTGCTCATGGCTGGACTCCAAGACAGGACACTGCCTCCTAATGCTGTGAATTTACACCTAGCTTAACTACTCCTAATAATATGACTCCTGTGCTGCAAGCCTTTGAGAGGGCTTCTTTTGCAAAGCCCTTAGAAAGGCTCTTTGAGTGATCAGCTCAAAAGCCCTTAAAAGAATCCCAATGCAGCTCCTAGAGCTTCATGGGTGACCCCCACCACTTGCTGGTCTTCCTGCTATGCCATTGCTCCTTCCTACCTTGCTTCTTGGCCATGGCTCCCCATCCTCTTGCTGCCTCCCCTCCTCACTCTTGCTCCTGCTGATGCTATTTCCATAAAGTTCCAAGCTGGACTGAGCCCATTATGCTGGGAAGCTGGTTCATATGCTCCCATGCCCAACCTGTCTTATGTGGTCCATGCTGGACAGTCCCAGCCAATAGCTCGATTCCCATTGGCTGATGGTTCCCACCTTTTCTCCAGAACCCACATGAATGCACGCAGGATTCTGGGAAGAAGATAGAGCCCAGCAGTGTTTGAAAATGGTGCTGCCTAATCTGCTTAGCCCACTGAACTGCAAACTAACCTCCTGCAAAAACATGCCTTTTGTTTATAGGTATGATACTTTCAACAACTTAGACATCCCTTGCCAGATAATTACAAAACTCTGTTGAGCTGCTATTTATGACAGTGGTTTGAAGTTTGGTTTTATGGTTTGCTTATTGAACAAAACAGTTTTAACATCTTAAAGCATTAAAGACTTTTATAGATAACTCTAAAAAAATGTAGAATTTTAGCTGGATTGAATCTTTACAATAGCTAAGTGTTACAAGAATAATACTGTCTCCTGGGAGAGAGGTGGGGTATAAACTTAAAAAAAAAGTAATTTAATTTAATTTAAAATTCTTTCTGAAATTAATATCTTATGGAATAATTCCATAGTGCTAGTTGTTGCTACAAAACAGTTCTACCTTATTTTCCTGCATATAAGACCACTTTTTAACCTGCAAAATCTGTGGTTAAAGTGGGGGGTCGTCTTATACGCCGGGTATAAGGATAAGGAGGATAGAGGTGCTAAAACTCTATATCTTGACTGGAAAAATGGGGGGTCCTCTTATACGCTGGGTCGTCTTATACGCCGGAAAATACGGTAGTTATCTTTTTGTGTAGTTTCATCAGCTGGAACAGCTTCCCAACCTCTGCAAAGAAAAAATTGGTAAGAACTAGGATTGTTGCCAAATACTGAGCAGTTATGTGTTGTGGGCTCTAAATTAGCAATTACAGTGGAATGTAAATTTCTTCTGAAAATCAAGCATGTTGACCCTTCTCAGTTTCATGCGTAGGCTGTGGCTGCTAAAGCCTTATGTCACCTCATAACCTACCAACTCCGTTATCCTTTTTCCTGGTTTAGTCACATTCATCATCCCTCAAGTCTGGGGTCAGGTAGTGGGTAGAAATCACAATATTGCATAGTCAGTCATAGCTATCTACATGATGGGAGAAGTGGTGAGGGAAATTTAAGGAAAAACAGAACAGTTTTGTAAGGAGTGTTGAAAAATAGCAAAAAACAGTTCTTTTGGACACTGTTAAAATATGCAGAAAACAGCAATGCATGGTTTGAGTTCAATCATAAGTAACATTTAAGACTGTTTTTTAAGAAAGTTAAGATAATAGGACCGCATGGTTATCACAATTTGGATGTATTCCTTGATGCTTATGTTTGGATGGCGACCAGAACGTCTTTTATATCCCTAAGGTCAGTGCTCCAACCACACTCCTTCCTGGAGATGGTAGATCTGCCCAGAGTCTGATATGTCTTAGTTACATTTTGTTTTGATAACTGCACTTAGAATTGCTAGGTCAGGAGTATTACAGATCCTAAGATTTCAGGTCCCAGTTCTGAGATCTACGGGTGGCCCCTGATGGTGCCACAGCTACAGCTCCTGATAATATTACAGAGGCGGGCCATAGTGATGTCTTTAAGGATCATTCCCTGGGGAGTTCTGAAGCTTCCTGCAGAAGCACACGGTAATTTCTTTTTCAAGGCAAGACTGTCACTCTGCGATTCCTCTCCTTGTCTTGAAGCCTGGACAAAAGGACTGTGTCCAGAGATCTAGAAACCATAACCACAACACACTCTAAAAGGGGCTGCATTTGAAGATTATATAGAAGCTTCAGCCAGTTAGAAAGCTGCACCCATGCTATTGACACAGAATAGCGATAGGGAACATGAGATTCCCCTTTTAACATAGCTTCACTAAGTAATGGTTTCTCTGGACATGATTCAGAATCCTAATTATGACCTTAAAAGTCATGCATCATTTGGGACTAGAGTATCTGAAGGGCTGCATCCTCTTTTATGAGCCTACCAGGGTTTTAAGTTCCGTGGGAGATGACCTTTTATTTGACCTGTCAACATTTGAAGTTGGAAAGAAAAGGCCTTCTTGATGGCTGCTCCCAGACTCTGGAACACTTTGCTGAGGAAAGCTAAGCTTACTTTCTCCCTGATGACCCCTCCATGGCAAGCAAAAATATTTTTTGTTAATGATCCTTAAGTTGACCAGCAAATACTGTACATTAATCACCGATTTTAACTGATTGATTTTACAATCTCTGATTTTTTGATGTGTCAAATTACCAGTCTGGATAATTTCAAAAAAGCCATCAAGACAGATCTCTTCTGGCAGGCTTTTCCCGAATAGAATATACTCTACTAAATTCCTACCTCTCCCTCTTTATACTTGATATTTGCTGGTATTAGAATACCAGACATTTTAACTATTTTAGCTGTGTTTCTAATGTAATCCTTTTTTTAGAGGGGGTGTGTGTAAACTATTTATCATGTTTGTTTGTTGTGGGGACTGTTTTTACTTATGCTAACAATGGAAGCCGCCTTGATTGCCGTGGCAAAAGGCAGGGTACAAAAATAAAGTCTATTATTATTATTATTATTATTATTATTATTATTATTATTATTATTATTATTACCTTGTTTTTGTTTGTTATAACTTTGTATTATTGTTGTTATTTTGCTAACTTGAGCAGGTGTCCATTTGATAGGAACATGGCATCAAAATTAAATATGTAAAATATTGAGGGGAAGAGGAACGAACTGTAAATTACCTGTTCTTACCCATTTACCATGGGTGATGCAAATGCTT